TGTAATTATTCTTAATGGGCATTTAAGAACTTCCTTCTCATTACCACCCACTTACCCCTCTCTCTCTCACTCCCCCACTCTCCCTCTCCCCCTCGCTCTCTCTTGCTCTCTCTATCGCCCACTTACCCCTCTCTCTCACTCCCCACTCTCCCTCTCCCCCTCGCTCTATCTTGCTCTCTCTATCGCCCACTTACCCCTCTCTCTCACCCCCCACTCTCCCTCTCCCCCTCGCTCTATCTTGCTCTCTCTATCGCCCACTTACCCCTCTCTCTCACTCCCCACTCTCCCTCTCCCCCTCGCTCTCTCTTGCTCTCTTTATCGCCTCCTATCAACTTTGTAATGGGGATAATATCATACATCAGCATGTTCGTTCCGAGTAGTCTTAGTTACGTAGTAGAATGAAGCACACGAACATCGAAAAAAAGTCTTAAGAAATGGTCAATATATCGAAGATCGTAATATTTTGGAATAAGAAAAATCATGTACGACTACAACTTATTCATGTTTTTTAGAAGTAAATTACAAACTTATTTTCAAAATTCATTTCTGTTCAGTGGCTAACATTTTTGTTTCTCACTATTGTTCTTCTTTGTAAATATTCACTTATCTTTTGATTTTTTTTATTTCGGTCCCATTATACTTTCCTTTTTTTATAGGGGATTTTTGTTGTTTTATTAGCATTTTTGCACAACCTGAGTACTATTGTGTCATACGCCTATTCTGCTCGTTCTCTTGCACTTTCAAATATTTCGATAGGCAAACACGCTTTAACAAATTTCGAATAGAGTAATCGGAAAAGGGCCCTTTAATTCCATGTTTATTATAGTATCATCATTCTAGTTATTCATATATTAATTATCTTATAGTTTGTAATGTGGTCTAAACTGCCACAGTGTCAGCTTTAACAGTTCCAAGAATTTGTTGGACAGGTGCTTGATGTTGACTTCCGTCTTTGTAATTCATTCATCGAAGGTTATATAACTAAATAAAAAGCGTCTCAATTAAAACTTGATAGAAATCTAACAACTCGCGTAGTTTTGAGGCCATATATCAGCATTTTATTTACGGGGACCAAGATCTTGAAATTAAAAAGTTTTTATGAGGTCATGTGACATTCGACCAGCTCGAGTCATCCAGAAACTACTGAGGCTAATGAAAATTAATTGACTAATAATTAATTTCTTTGTAAAAATCATGTTTTAAAAGACGAAGCTGATAACAAGTTGGGTATATAGATAATATATAATCCCCCAAAGAGTTACTATACAAGCGAGTGAGCAAAGAGATTGAGCGGTATAATATGATTTTAATTGTGACCCTGAACAACAAAAAAACAATTTCTTATGCATTTAACCCATAGAAATATCCCAAGGCACCACCTTATGATGTCATAGGCGTACTAGTATTGTCATAAGGGGGGGGGGGGGGGGACCATCCCGTGTATACATTTCGCGAGAGAGTGACTGATAAAAAATTGAACTTCCAATTTCGTGCTATTTCGTTATTATAAAAAAACGGGCACCTTGCTGCCCGAATAATGATAAGTTAACGATTGCCCGAATAATGGAACGTCCAACCCTGCAATCAAACAGTAGACTTTCAAGTTTTGAATGTTGATAAGCAATACTCTGTCTTCTTCTTCCTCAAATAGGTGCAAAGATAACGAACCCTCGCGGTAAATATAGACGGGAAATTTGGATACACGAAAGTTGAAATTCCTTTTAAATAGTTAACCTTATTTGTGTACACTCCTGTGCAAAATTTGACAAGAGCCTAATTTAATAAACACACTTCAATTAGAGCAAAGCTATTATAATTAATGTTGACCCCTTCGTATGGTCTATGCTATGTTGGGGCGCAGAACTACACGATCCCGAATCAGCATAATTATACGATAGATTAAAACGACCATGATTTTGAAAATGATCGTGCTTTAAAACTTCAACAAGTCCTTTTCCAGTGCACCGTTTGTTTTGTATTTTGGGGTCTATTCTACAGTTCTTCTTCTTCTCTTTCTTACCTTTGTAATTCTTTGCCTCCTCCGTACATAGGCCTACGCCATTGTCGATACATGATTCAAACAAAATTAAGTTCATTTCCTTTTGTTCTTTTTTCTTTCCTTTTGAATGCCACATGTTGTGAAACTTTAAGTAACTTCTTCGTCCGTAAACAAATTATCTTCGAGATTATTCCCGAAAATTACTTGCCTTTCCGGACCGGTTCTCGGGATCACGCCATCATTCGGCTTAATGCGCATAGTCGGCGAATAAAACAACCAGTAAAAAAGGTCCAGAAGTAGACTAAGCGTGAATTGGCGTTGGGTCTAAGAGGCGGAGCCCCTGGAAACTCAGGCATTTTAGGCATTTAATTACGGTCAGATGAGCATATTTTGAATCTTATTTGTGACACTGGCACATCACTATATTTTGCGATAAAGGCGTGTATTTGAAAGCTTTGCCGACATGCTTGACGATGCCCTTAGTGTTTTTGCGCATGGATTTGCTAGTTTTTCGCGCCTTTTTGCTGAATAAGGTTTGCTAAATCGCGCTTTTTTTGCAAGGTGGTATGAAAAAAGAACAATTCAGAGAAGCAACCCACCCGATAAAAATAACTAGCAATAAACTTGTTCTTGAAGTTATTGTTTGATATCGTTTTGTGTATGACGAAATAAGAGGACCTAGTGACTGAGTTTTATTTTAATTATAAATATCACAATCCTTGTTTCAGTCATAATTGATTAATTGATTCATTCTTAATAATTGTTTTTTTATTATTAATATGCGCATTTATGGAATTTTGATCAAAGCGCTTAAACATGTGTCTTCTATTTTTGTGAATTATTTTGTTCTTCAGATTTGCGATGAAGAATTATATGATTTGGTTTCAGTCAGAATATATACGGTCCATGTGAATAAGGAGAGCGAAAAAAAGTAATACTCACCGAACTACCAGCACTATACATCCAACTTTCCCAGCAAGGTCTTCTACATCTTGTTTAAATGAACCTGGTAAGATGAAGAGAGAACGTGTTTGATACATTGTGCATGATGAACCTTTTGAATACTATGAAAATGACATTTAGCCAACATGCAGAAGTAGAGAGAGAACAAGGTAGAAAAGCTTGTGTAGTTCTATAAATTGCATGCAATATGCCAGAATAACACAAATGTATGAATTCGTTGTGCACTAACTTTTAAGGAACCACACTAAATTATATTATGTGATAACAAAAACAGTGAACAAAATGCGTTTCATGAAGAGAATCTTACATGGGGTTGAAAGTCCTGGAATAATACTAATAAGGGGGAGCCAAAACTATGATGAATCTATGAATCTATGAGTCTATGTACGCCTTTAAGTATAATGTCACTTGAGAATCATTTTGTATGAATTGCAGAGGTCAGTGATGGTACAATTCCAAAACCAGAAATAGAAACACCCATAAACGACATCAACACAATGAGGATGTTTGAAAAGCCCAAGACATCACTCTCTTTAATGAAATTTTTGCATCTATATATCAACACTGTTTGAGCTTTATGATATTGAAAATGTATTTGAGAAAAGCTTTTTAGGGCCCCTTATTTGTATCCCCATATGGTTTTGAGAGTGAAAAAGCTTAGTTATATAATTATTCGCAGTCCCTTTTTAATGATCCCAATGGGTTCTAGGACAATTACCCCCTGGGCAATCACCCCCCGGAAAATTACCCCCCGGAAAACTACCCCCCAAGGACAATTACCCCCCGGAAAATTACCCCCCGGAGAATTACCCCCCGAGGACAATAAACCCCTAAGGACAATTACCCCCCGGAAATTTACCCCCCGGAGAATTACCCCCCCAGGACAATTACCCCCCAAGGACAATTACCCCCCGGAAATTTACCCCCCGGAAAACTACCCCCCGAGGACAACTACCCCCGAGGACAATTACCCCCCGAGGACAATTACCCCCCGAGGATAATTACCCCCCGAGGACAATTACCCCCCGGAAAACTACCCCCCGAGGACAACTACCCCCGAGGACAATTACCCCCCGAGGACAATTACCCCCCGAGGATAATTACCCCCCGAGGACAATTACCCCCCGGAAAACTACCCCCTGAGGAATTACCCCCCGAGGACAATTACCCGCCCCCATGGATAACTACGCCTGAGGACAATTACCCCCCCCCCCCTCCCCGAAGACAATCAGGATTCAATAGCAAAAGACGATTTGACACATTGAGAGATGTTGTGAAGGCTACGAGCCCATAAAATCCCGTGCATGAACCCACATTCGTTCAAATACTTGCGCGTGATGTTCCTCTCATAACTACACATTTTTCTTTAACTATAATGTATGCAACACCACTGTGGTTGCTGTCTTCTACGAAGGATTTCTCTTGAGCAGCGTTATTTCAAATTTTTGTTAGACACAGTGCCCTCTTAAGAAATGAAAACTTTCGCCCAATCTTAAATTCTTCACAAACTATTTATTTTGCATCACTCTGGCATTCGTCAAGAGCTATGTACACACGTATGGGCACATTTGTTTCTTGATTTTATGAACGAGCAAGAAAAAAAAGGACAAGACATACTTATTTTCTTTTAATATGGCACCGTACATACCATATATTTAACTTGAAGGCAATTTTTATTTCAAAATAAATTACAGTACAAGAAAACATATTTGAGTTCACCATGACAACAGAAATATATATATATATATAAATATATATATTACATTACATTTATAAACATGAAGAGAACCTTTAGTTTGGAATAGATCGTGGATGAGGGCCTATTATGCATACAAAGACAAATATACTATCAGCTGATTAGAAAAGTTACAGAGGATGCATAAATAATGAAATCTTACATCCTAATTTCTTTGTTGGGCCATTTTGGGGGAGACTAGCTGTAACGCGTACTCATCTGCGCGCAATGTATTGTTAAATTTCTAAGAAATGTAAATTCCGTACTTTGATTTGATACATGCGTCTTCTGGCAATTGAATTCGATTTGATACATGCGTCTTCTGGCAATTGAATTCGATTTGATACATGCGTCTTCTGGCAATTGAATTTGATTCAATACTCGTGGCATATTAAGTCAAACTTCACAAAGATGGAATGGATACAGAGCGAGAGGGGTGGGCGAAAGCTCCTCCTGGGAGGATACATGTACGTCAAGCAAAAAGATTTGGCAGATGGGTACGAGGGCTTTGAATGTGAGCTACGAAGGAACACACGACAATGCAGAGCAAAAATTAAGGTAAGCATCAAACGTACCAACATATTGTGGAGTGAATGACTTGTACCAACCGTTTATTACAATACATAAGTCCCAGAGCCTATTGGTTCTACGCCACAGCCCATTGTCTAATATATTACCAATATGAAAATGATTAAGGTTGAACAGAGCCTAACAATTCATATAATAATTTCAATTTTTTTTAAATGGACACTAGCATAGCATAAATTTAAGTTAAAACTTTAGACGCACGGCTTCCTAGGACCAGTGATCTCTTTGGTCAATATAATTAATGGACAGTCGGCTCAAAAGGGTTGTTCCCCTAAACAGCTCCTTATAAATTCTTAACTGCAAACTTTTAAACGAATTCACCTAGACACAACTGTGTCCGTTTTTCTTACGTAACGTTTCCATAAAAATCAGAGGTCGCCATTGAGTCATAATTGACTCAACACACCTTAACCCTAATAAGGCCGGGGGGGGGGCAGAGGGGGCACGTCCCCCCCCCCCCCGGCCGCTCAAAAATATGTTAAAATCAGCCCTAAATTCGCCAAATACTGAAAAACAGGGACGTGCCCCACGGGCCCCAAAATTCAATAATTGTTTGTAATAAAAAAAAATATAAATTAAAAAAAAAAATATATATATATATATATATATATATATACAAATGCCTGACCTAAAAAGTTGACCCCAACGAAACAAAATGTCAAATTTACAATTTTCGTGACCAAAAAAAAAAGTGTCCGCTTACCAAACCCCCCCCCCCCCCCCGCTTTTTCTGCGATTTTTATGGGACCAAAAAAAAAGTGGGGTCCGCTTACCACCCCCCCCCCCCGCTTATTCAGCAATTTTTATGGGACCCAAAAAAAGTTATCTCCGCTTACCCCCCCCCCCCCCCTCCCCCCGTTTATTCAGCGGCTGGCTGAGTCGTTGCGTTTTGGGGGACTAAAACAAAAATATTTATATGTTCTATTACCCCCCCCCCCCGTGTGCCCCCCATATACCTCCCGGGAAGAAATTCCTGGATCCGCCCCTGGGCATTATGCCCCCCCCCCCTCCACGATTTTCTAATTGTTCGGGAACGCATATGGATGGCGCCCCGACGCTCGCTGACCTTTTTCTTTCGAGTCTTGCGCATCTTTAAAAGAATGTTTTTGAAAATCGGATGCTTAAATATGAATAATATATGATTTATGGGTAAAATGTGATTTATGACCTTATTTGCATAAATTACCATAAATATGCAAATAAGTGAATGTTTCAAAAAATTGAAATTATCATAGTATTGTATAATACACTTCACTTGACATGCGTGCAAATTTTCGCGGAGATCGGCCGTTTCACGGCAGCGATCTTAAGGGGGCATAATCACCCCCCCCCCCCCGGCCGTATTAAGAACTCAAAAAGTGATTCGGTAACATTGTTGAAGGTTGATTAAAAAACGGTGTAATTTTTGTATGAAATGTTACTTATTATATTCCTTTTACTGTACTTACAGGCAAAAAATCCTGAGAAAATTCTTAAACCACAAATAAATGCACGGTTTTCTTTGAAGCGGACACTGAGTAACACCCTTTAACAGTGATTAACAGTAAATTCTCCCAACCATTTTTGAATTTTCCAAACCGTTTTTCCATGAAAATAAGACATAAGACAGGCTTTTTAAAATCTTTCAACACTAAAATGTCTGGAATGTTATGAAGAGCCAGTTTGTTGCAATCGTCACAAGACGATGTACTTTCACCTGAAATGTAATTAAATTGTGATAATATAGTTGGGAGAATTAAGGAATCGATCAGTGAGATCAGTTTTTCCCAATGGTTATCATTAATAATGGTCCGTTTTCACTCAAACTTTCAGATTATCTTTAATTGTACATCTAGCAATGAAGTCACTGCCTTAGCACCATTTTCTCTCATAATTATAAACAATGTTACCAAGTCCCTTTAAAGACCGAAAAATAAATGATTCGCAAGATCAATGTCATTGCTGTAGCTAAGGACAGCCAAATTGATGATTTTCCGCACTATATGCAAACATCACACTCGGAGAGGACCTCCTTGCAGTGGTATTTTCAGAGGAGGGGAGGGGGTGGGCTGGCATTGCCTACCATAAGCACAAGGTAAAGGGGATAAAATAAGAATCACAGTTTAAACTTCATGAAATTAGTGTCGTTGCTTCAGTTCATAGAGGAACCGTAAGCTTATTAATGATCTACTGAGATCGTAATCAATTACTTAACGGTTATAGCTGAGCACAAGATTAAACAAATAACCACATTAAAATATTACTTAAAATTTGGAGACCGGCCTAAAACGCAAACATTTTCCGTAATATGCGTTGCCACCCCACTTTTCAGTGACGATGTTTCCATCATTTCATGGTTGACTGAGCGCAAACAGAGGAAAAAAATTATTAAGTCATAAAGGTATTTCTTTACTTCTTGTTGTTGAAAGAAACTAAAGACGGCAAGCTAGTCAGTTACCTTCCCCCACATCGTATTTATTAGGTTATGCTTGAGTGAGCACAAATTAAAGATAGAATACAAAAAATGCAATGTCATATTAAACAATAAAGGACATCAATTTGTTTATGAATAGCGACCCCGATTTCGTATTATGAATAGCGGTCCTTAAGAGTAATGACCCCTAGATGTGAATTATGAATAGCGACCCTTATCTCACTTTATGAATAGCGGTCCTCAAGAATAACAGTCCTCACGCTTTTGTGAATAGTGGCCCTCTTTCCGTTTTATGAATAGCGGTTCTTCACGTATCGGAAGTTCCACGTAATAAATCGCGGTCCTTATGACTAGTGAGGTTACACTCCGAGCCAGCATGTTTATTAAGGGAAAAACATACAATCACACAAACACACAAACAAGAGAGGAATAGCCACATTTCAAAGGTGATGTAAATGAGTACCTGGTAGGAATTAATTCGTTGAAATGCTAGAGCGCCGCAGTGGCCGCCTCGCTAAAGCAAGGGTAATAATCGGGGCAGCGCCAGGAGCGTCACAACGTGACAGACATGTGCGCTATATAAGAAGCCACCATTATTAATATTATTATGAAGTAATGGATGGAGGTCAACGACCTTCTGAAAAACATTGTTCTACAATAAAGGAAGCAATGACATACATTTTAGGAATAAACATGGTTATTTTGTCTTTAATTTGTGCACAGTCAAACATGACATATAGGTCCAATATGATAAAAGTAACTGACAAGATATACCAAGTTTAATTTCTGTCAATATTAAATGAAATAGAGATATTAAGATTTGTTTTTGTTGTTAATGTTATTTTTTGTTCATTCTCGCTGACCTGAAGTTAGAATTGTGATTATTTTGTTCTTTAACTTGTGATCAGTCATCCATGAACTAACGGATGTTAAGCAGGGTAACAGGAGGTCATCGATGGGTGTGCATGGTGTTCGCATTCAGAGCTGACAAATCATCAATTTGACAGTCTCACTACAATTAAGCAAAGGCATTAATGTAGCTAATTTTCCAAATTTTGTCTTTAAAGATAGTATCACACATTTGCAAGCCCTCAAAATCTCGATGAGATTTTTTCTGCAGATGGCTTGTGATATGCAATACAATTTTTGAACAATACTCTGAAAGATTTAGAGCTCAACCCCTTCCAGTTATGAAGTAGGAAACAAAAATGTAATCAATTATTTTCTTTTATTTTCCTCATTTTCTATTACGGCGTCTACCAGACGCTTTAAGAAGGAAAATATTAAAATTGTCATTAATAATATTTTCAGTAATAATAATGACATTACATTATCGATAACATTGTGGCGTATCCGCACTCCTCTCCAATTTGCTCAGAAAATGTAATCAACTTAATTCTCTTCGTTGTTGATGACGGAATAGATTTCTTCCATACAAGGATTGGATAGGAAAACACATTTGAAATAGTATATTTAGGGTGCATGTATAACTGAAAATTTTGTCTAAGGAAAATAAAGATTTCTGATTTTTAGTACAGAGTAGAAGGGAGGGGAGTTTGCAACTTAAACAAAATAAAATCTTATCTTTAATCGGAATTCATTTAAACTTTCACCGACCCATTCCTCTCATTTACCTGCTTGATTAAGTATGACTGGCTACTTCTGGTTTCCACACAAATATTTCTGTAAAAGCACAGATACAATCCTGTTAAAGGTACTATTCCCATTTGCAGGCCAAAAAATGAAAAGGTTAAATTCCAACGGCATTTGAAAGATAATACTAATTTAGAACTCTCCTAAAAAACGGGGGTTTGAAAATGTCTTTAAGTGGGAAAATAACCAATATTAGTTGTCGAATCGACTTAAGAGCTATAGAGCCAGTAAGTAACAGTCTGATTTTCAGACCATTGTACCGAATGGTCGTACGTTTTAAGCTGCGCAGTGATTCAATCAGTTTAATTTGGCCATTACAAGAAGTGGGTTATTGATGTAGGCAAATGCTTATGTACCCTTTACAACTCATTTTATATATGTTATTACCAAAGAAGAAAAAAGGCCAGTCAGTCACTCAATAGTGTCTGACGGTGAAGTCTAGCAAGTAAACGGGTTTCCTTGCATAGTTTGAATATTAGGACACTGCTAACGTTTATATTTCACAGATAGGACATACATGACATATTCATAATTCCTACAAAGTTCGACAGCATTAGATGTTTGCTGCAAAAGGGACTATCTTTACGGTTCAAAGGAAATCCAACCCTTGTAACAATTCCATTGCTTTTAAGGAATGAAAGCAGATACATCAGAGAAACAGAATGGCAAAAGTTTGGAATAAATCGGACCAATGATAAGAAAATAATGAATGTTTGATATATGAGATCACTATATACATCCATGCAAATCTCAAATTGGCAATTCTCTCATTGGATTGTGCCGTAGTGACAAATAACCCTTCGTTTGTCTTGTACACAAATATGAAGATTTTTTTTTTCTCCCAAGCGCCTTCATCCTTGGGGCACTACTTAAAATATAATATGGAGAGTATATTATTACAGGTTCTCTAGAAATAATTTTTTGTGTGTAGGAACAAACGGGAAAGGGAGTGTCGTGGTCGAGTGGTTTAAGGCGCTTGACTTGGAGATGCGAAGGTCGAGGGTTCGAATCCCGACACGGCACTAATATCCTTTGGCAAGATATTAACCTGCACTTGCTACTCTCCACCCAGGTGTTAAATGGGTACCCGGTAGGATGCGACCGTCATTGTTGGTCAAACAGTTTTTGAGCGTCATGTAACGCCTGGCTGGAATGCTCCCCAGGGAGTGGAGATTGTGCACACATTGTGTGCGGGTAAGCAATGAATCCAATGACCGGGGTAATAATATATTTGTAAAGCGCTTAGAGACATTTGTATTTAGCGCTATATAAATTAAATTTATTATATTATTATATTATAAAGTTGTCTGCCGCTACTTTATACAGAAAATACCGATTCGGCTAATTCGAAGAGCCCTACCTATATTTGTTTTTATATTTTTATTTATTCATGGTTAAAAACAAATACAACTTGTGCCCGCATTCAGCAAAAGCTGTTTTTTCAGCGAGGCCGTGATTACATAAAATTCGAATAAAATATAAAACAATGAAAATATAATTCACAAACAAATATGAAAGTTATAATAAATGAACATATTTACAGAAATTTAACTACAAAATCAAATCATAGTGACAAAGGGGAAAAAACCCAAAACAAACACAAAACAATCAAATAAACAATTAAGTTTGTATCTACGGGATGAAAGTGATTCTAACTTTCAAAAATTCAAACTTTGTTCAATACGCTTCACTAATTTTTCAGGTTTAGTCTTGAGAAGTTAATATCAATGTTGGACTCCCCGTTAACAAAAAAATCACAAGGAGTTGCTTTTTAGGAAACTTAATTCGTTGTGTTGAGATCAACGTACATGTAGCTATTTAGGGTGAATTGCCGTTTGGTTAACAACCAGCCAGTCTACTATCCACTTGGTCCCATAATAGTTTCGTCTACTTATCGTTAGATCTAGCGGCCATCTAGGACGACAGTCATTCGGTCTAATCCCCAATTAATCTATTACCATTTGGTCTATTATTCATTTTGTCTGATTCCTAGTTTTCTAAATGCCCATTTCGTCTACCATCCATAATGCCTAATAATTAGTGGATGATTAATAGCCTATATATATGGGAATAATGTTTTATCTCTCTCAATCTCTCTCTCTCTCTCTCTCTCTCTCTCTCCCCACACTTCCTCTCTCTCTCTCTCTTTCTTTTTCTCTAATAGGTCATGGGTGATAACCAATTCCGCGATAGAACGGAGCATAACCATCCGCCTAACCATGGTAGAAGCAATGCTACGAAGGTTAAAGCAGCAACGAAGAGAAGGGCCACTGAGTCCAATGAAAGACCACAACAGGTGCTTATGGCGACACTATGCGAGGTAACAGAGGAAGGGCGGGCAGCGCTACCATCACTAAACAACATGAGGAGGAATATCCGGAGACAGCGCCAAGAGAACCCAAACGCCCTCCCCATTCCCATGACTGTGGAAGATCTGGAAATCCCTGTAGATCAACGATTGACGCTGGGTGGAGAGCTTTTCCTTTATCACGACTCTGGAAGAAACGACCCTCGCCGGATTTTAGTGTTTACTACGGCAAGGAACCTTCAGGTAAGAACAAGTGTTGGGGTTCATTGCCATTTGGCCTTCTACGGTTCCGCAATTTTAGGAAGTGCTGCAAAAGCATACGTATTGAGTAAAAAAGATTTCAGGATTCATTAGAATGAATTGAAATTGTAAGGTCATCATAAAGATATCCAAATACTTCCTATAAAATTGAAATTGAAATTAAATTAAAATTGGTTATTATTCTCGACAAAGTACAGGATCGGTTCTAGAACAATTCCCCTGAGGGGGTATTGTTCTGATACGAGATGATCTCCTATTTCGATTATGTTTTTTAATTATCATGCTATGATAATTAAAAAACAGTAAGTAAGTAAATAAAATAGCTTGGAAATAATACATACAATTTTGCAAGTGAAACAGTTTGTTTGTTTGAAATATATAATATTCGATGCAAATGTATTCATTCTGTTTTGCTACTAGTTGCTGTCAACGTCTGAAAGTTGGTTCGCTGATGGCACGTTCAAGGTAGTGCCGACCATCTTCTTCCAGTTGTGGACAATCCACGCCACATATGAGGGACATGTGGTGCCTTTGGTTTATTGCCTCATGCTAAATAAGGACCAGGCGTCATATGCAAGGGTACTAGCAGCACTACAGGAGGGAAGGGCTTTCTACCCAACCAGAATCATGATCGACTACGAATTTGCAGCGAAGAACGCATTTTCCCAGGCATTTCCAAATGCTCACGTTCAAGGATGTCTTTTTCATCTCTGTCAGAGGATACATGAACGGGTATGGTGATATTTATATATTGACAGTTGATCCCTTTTTTTTACCCGCCATTTATTGATCAAATAGTACATTCAAGGCTCATGGCTAAAAAAAAAAAAAAATAGTGATACAAATATTAGGTAGAGTTTGAAATTTGAGTAAGTGGACTTGCAAGCCATGATTAATGCTGAGGAGAGAGGGGGGGGGAGGATTCTAATAAATATTTTTTCTTTTAATCATCCTTTCAAGCCCAGTAACAAAAACTTTATATGATGATTAGAGGGTAGGGGCTATATCTCTTTTCGATTGTGCCTAAAACTGACCTGGAAAAAACACGGACCTCTAATCGCCAGGGGAGGGGGAGGGGGAATATAATCGATAGTTATACTGAAAATTGGTAGGCCACAAGGAAGCTGAGTAGGATACAAGCATGTAATTTTCTCCTATAGGAAACGCTCATTGCGTATAGTCAGGCAAGGGAGAAAATTTCGGGCAGCCCTGGCGGATTCGGGCGAAAAAATAGGGGACAGCGGTTTGTTCCTCCCCCCTCCCCCACACTAAATGAACAGTTACCAATATCTATGCATTTTGCTCAATGGGTAGACAACAAACAATATTTCTGAAGTGTGAAAGGGCTGGTACATGTACTGTTATGAGTTTTATATTATTATTTTTAGATCAAGCAAGAAGGGCTGCAGGTGCTCTACAACGAGGATGAGGAGATCCGGACACAGGCGAGAATGATAGGAGCGATTGCATTTGTGCCAGTGGAAGACACCGTGGAGGCGTTTGAAGCCTTGGCAGGCATTGCAAGGGCAGAGCTGCAACCTGTCCTCAATTATTTTGAGGATACTTATGTGGGTCGACCTCAAAGAGCCGCGGGACATGGTCGCCAGGCAGCGAGGTTCCCGCCCATAATGTGGAACATGTTCAATGCGACACTGCAGGGGGAATTTCGCACGAACAATCATGTGGAGGGCTGGCACCGAAGGTTCCAGATCGGCGTCGGTGCCGACCACCCCTCGTTTTGGCAGTTTTTGACCTGCCTAAAACGGGAACATGCCATGAACGAAGTAACGATCGGACAAGCGCAAGCTGGAATGGCGCCTCCCGCAAGTAGGAGAGTGTACCAAGATACCAATCTCCGGCTCATCAGGCTCGTTACTAATTACCATGGGAGAGACATTGTAGATTTTTTGAGGGGCGTGTCCCATAATCTTCACTAACGATCAGTCACCTATGCTATTGTACAGTTTTTGATCAGTCCAGGTGAATTGTTTTAACATGCAGGACCTCCCATTTACTTGGCATTACATTATATGGGATGTTTTGTTTTACATTAAGAGATGCGTATATACATTGTTGAATACAGAATGATATCATTTGATATCTTCTTTTTGTATGCATTTGATCGTTTTCAGGATAAAAGTTTCTATTTTTTTTAATTCTCTTTTTTACTGTTTCATGTTTATATGATAAGCATGATTAGCATCGGGCAAGCGCAAGCTGGAATGGCGCCTCCCGCACGTAGGAGAGTGTACCAAGATACCAATCTCCGGCTCATCAGGCTCGTTACTAATTACCATGGGAGAGACATTGTAGATTTTTTGAGGGGCGTGTCTCATAATCTTCACTAACGATCAGTCACCTATGCTATTGTACAGTTTTTGATCATTCCAGGTGAATTGTTTTAACATGCAGGACCTCCCATTTACTTGGCATTACATTATATGGGATTTTTTGTTTTACATTAAGAGATGTGTTACGTATATACATTGTTGAATACAGAATGATATCATTTGATATCTTCTTTTTTATGCATTTGATTGTTTTCAGGATAAAAGTTTCTAGTTTTTTTTTAATTCTCTTTTTTTACTGTTTCATGTTTATATGATAAGCATGATTGTGATGATCTTTGCCTCTGAGTTTTACTTTGGGATGTCAGAACTCTGTTTTTAGTACATGACTTTGATAAGTCTCCTCCTTTGGCTTCCTTCAAGACAGCAGGAAGGTGTTTTATTTGTGTTAATGTATCATTAATATTTATCATGTTTATCCTCTTCAAATATGGTTTTGGGCAATACGCGCCAAAATTTGCTGGACAGAAGTTTTATCGTTGCAGAAAAAGCTCTTCGTATTAATCGCAACTCTCAGTCGCGTTCCCTTACAAATCCTATATTCTTTGAAAATAGCATGTTAATAATTAATGACCTCTATCTCTTCCAGTTAGGCCAGTTTTTGTAAACTAACAGTAATGACATGCTCTCAATTTTATTCATGATGTGTTCCTCCCCCCACCCCCCTACAAAAAAATTACATTGTGGTGACTTTCATTTACCTCTTCTAAATACATTTATCTATGCCGGTCTCAAATTTTGGAACTTTTCACGTATTTGTACTAAACTTGCCCCATCACTCCATTCTTTTAAGCGAAAAGCGAACTCGTTTCTTTTACAATCTTATAAAACATATTAAATCTTCGCGTAGTCAACTCGTGTTTTACTCCCCCCCCCCCCACAGCTTGCGTTTGTGACCTTTCATATAATGTCAGTCTTCGTCCTATGTCTCTGTTGGATCATGTTCACCCAGACGTAGGAAAAGCATGTTGTTATACATTTTTAAATTATGAATTTATAATTCATAAGTTCTCATTTCACAATTTCAGATTAATCTGTTTTGTCTCCAAATGTATATGTATTTATTCCATATGTTTATTACTACCGTCTTTTGAGGGATCCACATTCTACAAATCCCGCTTCTCAGTAGATCCCTCCATTTTCACAGTTTTTTACTTTTAAACAAACGAAACATCACTTACAGCACATGTATACATTCTTTTGTAATTTAATTAATTATTTTCAAAATGATTTATGTAATTGATTTCTTGTCATAATTGTTTATATTGATAGTTCTGTTGGAAGTGAAAATAAAACTGAAAATTGAAACACTGTTTGAAATGCTATTAAAGTTATTCACTTGTGATAGAGAATGTAAATAGTTAAAATATTGCATCTTGTATGTCAATTTACCTCCGCAACATTTTAAGTTCAATACCTTTTCTTTTATATAAAGAATGAAGACAAAACAAGAATAGGATTTTCACCACAATAACTCGTACACTAGAGAACCATAAACAGCTAAACAAAAAATAAATTTTAAGCACAGTCTAAGTAGACATATTCCTTTGCTTCCAGAATTCATGAAAAGTCAAAGTTTTAGGAGACTTGGAGGCCACACTGAATAACGTCAAACAAAGCTGGCGAGAAGCGAACATCGTCACTAATGCTTAAGCGTCCCTTCGATTTTTAATCTCTGTTAAACTCGTTAAGAACAAAAGCTTTTCAATTTCATACGGTTCATAGAATTACCATGACCACGTTTCAGGGGGAAAATAAAGTAAAAATGCCTGCTTTAACCTTTTCTGAGATGGAGGTAGTGGATGTTTCTATCTTTCATATGGCCTAGAGTTTGAAAAAGTTTCACAAATTAAAAATTAGAAAATTATGATTTGTTGAAGGTGCAAACACAAATATGCAACTCCGTGACGTGTCTTGTGAGCTCCCCGCCTATTTGCCCTGTGCTAGAAAACTTTAAAAAAAAATCTGTATTCTTCCTTAACAAATTTTCCACATACATTCACCCAAAATATAATTAAATATAATTATTGCAAATATGTTTATACACAACCCCTGTACGAAACAAATCTATGCCGTCATAAATAACTAAGAAAATGAAAGTTCATGACATTTTCTCTAAATAGCAATTTGAAGCGGAGCTCGCATTATACGTCACAGTGTTGCAAATTCCCTGGGTGTGATTGTCCTCGGAGGTAATGGTGTTTCGAGGGGGGGGGGGGGGGGTAATTGTCCTCGGGGGGTAGTTGTCCTCGGGGGGTAGTTTTCCGGGGGGTAGTTGTCCTCGGGGGGTAGTTTTCCGGGGGGTAGTTGTCCTCGGGGGTAATTGTCCTGGGGGGTAGTTGTCCTCGGGGGGTAGTTTTCCGGGGGGTAGTTGTCCTCGGGGGGTAATTGTCCTCGGGGGTAGTTTTCCTCGGGGGGTAGTTTTCCGGGGGGTAAATTTCCGGGGGGTAATTGTCCTTGGGGGTAATTGTCCTCGGGGGGTAATTCTCCGGGGGGTAATTTTCCGGGGGGTAATTGTCCATGGGGGGTAATTCTCCTCGGGGGGTAATTCTCCGGGGGGTAATTTTCCAGGGGGTAATTGTCCTTGGGGGGTAGTTTTCCGGGGGGTAATTTTCCGGGGGGTGATTGCCCAGGGGGTAATTGTCCTGATACGATCCCAATGTGGTTATCTTACGAGTGACAATGTTCCAAAACCTGTTTCCACAATTTACATGCACACGTGTATGCCCATGCATAATACCCTCCTGGTAGTCTCCAAACTAATTACATCAGGCAGGTCAGGTATATGGTCACAGTGAAACATACACATTATCTATAAACTAATAGTTGTTTCATGTAGCTCACATGTTAAATTGATCATCGGCTTACACATATACGTTTGTTTTTATTTTATTCTTTATAAAACAAAAATCATATACTGCGCTCCAGGTGTTTCAATTCAATGTCAAATCAATTCTTTTTATTCATCCAAATTCAAAAGAATACATGGACATTTGTTTTGGTCACACATTGTACAAATACGTAATATATATATATATATATATATATATATATATATATATATATATATATACATGAAAAACTATATCGTTTTGTTTGATTTGTGCCATGTAATAAGAGTTCTAAGAGTTCCATTTTTTACTGTTAAACCAATGACTTTATAAGAGAACGCAAGTGTTAACACAATTCTCCCTTTCAGATGATAGATTTTAGTTGATGGCTCACGGGTTACTCAGGCGTATGTCCTGGTTTATACCTTCAATGTCCAAACAATTACATGGCTAAAGACAACTGTAATTTAGCAAACAAAGTTTAACATTTAAAGCGACTGAGTATATTTATTATATTTTTAGATAACATATGATTGTGATAAGTTAGTGTAATCTACCAAAGTGAATGTAATTTTAATCAATTTACAAACACGGTAGCTGCGTCTGATTTCCCTTATTTTAGGCGCATGTTCAGAAAGCAAATGAAGGAAGAACGAAATAGGAAAAAAGATAAATTATTGTTTTATCCGGCATATGTAGAATGTTTTGAATTTCTACACAATGCTATTTTAATGAGGTACAACGAGCATTGCGTTGATTTATTAATACCAAAGACAGCATTTGATCATAAGATTCATAATTTTTCGAGAAACATACCTCCGACTTTATAATTATAGGATAAGGAAAAAAAAATACCGTAGTTACATTTTTATTTTCGAGGCTTATTAGTTTCATTATATTTTCTTTCCAACAAACAAACACCAATAAATCAACATTTGATTTTCTTTCAATATACAAACCACTATAGCATGCTTTCGTGATGACAGATATAGAATCGGTCAGATGTTCCTCCTGATCCTTGGTAGATGTTTGTCGTTTATCAGCATGCTTGCTCGGCTTGACGTCTCCATGAAGAGCGCGTTTCAGAGCAGGGACTGTGTCGGTCGCATACGTGTACAGATCGATAATATATACGACAAGCTTATCAGGAAACACCACTCGTTCATCATCGAAAGATACAGCCTTGCCTGGTTTATACGACAAGATTTCATGTCTTAATGTAGCGATCCTCGTCTCTAAATCCGCGTTTGGAGAAGCCATTTTGAATGAATACCTGCCTACGTATGAATAAGTACAATCTAATGAAGTTAATTCAATCAGTTTATTCTCGCAAATCAAATGTTTACCGTTCAAGACGTGGCTTTTATAAACTCCAGTGATAACTGGTTCCAAAGGACATCAATTAGTTATTAATCTATAAAACTAGATTACATTATAAATAGTAATGCAGTTGTATTTGTATTAATTGGAGCGAGCCATCTTGTTAGTTAATATAGGGTCAATAGGCCATGCACTTTGTATTTGCAGTGTTGCTTTAAGTATTGCTACATGTGTACTGAAGGCCATGTAAATATTATAGTAATATTCTTCATGAGTTTACGATACGTACTGATACAGCCTTTCTTTTTTTCTCCCTATTACGGTTCCATGTATTTGCATTGATTTGACTCGTGATCACTGAGCTGTCCTTTCCAAGCCCCCCCCCCCCCCCCACATCCATTGTTTAATATGTTAAAGCGTCCGTGTGACAAGCAACCACTCAAATATAATACTTTCAAGTTGATAGGCTAAAGAATAAGCGAGAGAGAGAGAGAGAGAGAGAGAGAATAGGGGGGGGGGTCTGTATAATTCATGTATCACCAAATTGTTGATTAGTTTCGCATTCAGGTATCGATATATATACCATTTGAATTGGTCGTAGTACACTGTTAGAAAAAAATTAAACAAGTTGTTTAAAATTTTAAACAACCCCGAGTTAACCGGTGAATCGCTCAACGTTGTTTAAAAATTAAACAAATTAAGGTTGTTTACATTTTGAACACTTAGTTGTTTAAAAATTAGGAAACCTTTTAAACAACAGTTGTTTAGTAATAAAATTGCACAACTCGGTTGTTTAAAGCAAGTTGTTTAAATTTTAAACAATAATGTTTAAATTACTAAGCAACTGTTGTTTATTCAGTATTACTGCACAACTGGGTTGTTTAAAAGGAGTTGCTTAAATTTTAAACAGAACTGTTTTAATGGTTATTATCTGGTTGTTTGGATTTGTGAAATGACCTACTGGAACCACTCCTGCAATAATCACAACGATTTATACACTGCAACATGCAGAGCTTGTTGCCAATTTACTTCAACATTTGTTCATCATATTCATGGCAGTGACAGACAACATTATTATTTGTCTCTATAACTTCACCTAAACCCCATCGGCGAAGCCGAGAAGAACCAAGTCATCGCCTTGCCCTTGTTCCGCCATTTTCGTCTGCACTGCACTGCACTAGCACTTGCACTGCACACACTAGCACTGCATGCTTGCATGCATGTATTATGTACGTACTTTGTGCATATCGCATGTGTGTGCGCAAATAGCAATCGCGTATCGAGAAAATATCAACGACGCCCCTGGGACTTTTTAAACAACTCTGTTTAATTAAATATTTTTGTCTTTTAATACATAGCTGTTTAAGTCAATCGAGCACTGATTTTTCGATTTTGAACAACGTTGTTTACTTTTTTTTAAACAACATTCTTTTAAACAGTGATATTTTAAACACCGTTCTAACAGTGTACTTCTCGCCTAAATTTGACATCTGCACGAAGTCAAAGTTG